ATCAGGGTACTTTTTTGGGTACCCTTAACTCAGTATATTCTCTAGGGTACCACAGTACCAGGTATTTCGATGTTGCTGAATATACTACTCATTACGGCTCTGTCAGGATGTTTCGTGATCACGCGCGCGCGTGAATACAGTAGAAATAAATTCATTCAATCGTGTTTATTTGGAAAGAAGAAAAAAAAAATGAACAATGTTAATTATTGTGTTCGATAGCAAAGCGTTGAACACGAGCATTGCCATTCTCGACGACATAGAGATTGCCGTGTCGATCGAATGACAAACCGAGGGGCAGATTGAATTGATTCGATTGTCCTCCTTCATCGTTTCTATCCAAAATGACAGTTCCCTGTGTGTCTCCTTTGGGCCAACGCATGATTCGATGATTCCATTTATCAGCCACATAGACAGTGCCCAATTGATCTACAAGGACTCCTTGCGGATAATACAATTGTGTAAGATTATTTCCTGCTTCGTGACCACCAGCCACGACAACGCCTTGTTTTGCACCTTCCATCCATTTCATCACACGCTGATTTCCCAAGTCAGACACGTACACTGAATGATCTCGATCGACAAATACATATTGTGGGCCAGGGAGTTGATCGAGACGATTTCCTTCTCCATTGCCACCTACAACCACTGTTCCTTGAGATTCTCCTCTTCGATATCGTCTCACTTCAGCTCTTCCCTCGTCATTGACATAGAGAGATCCATTCTCGTCCATTGTCAAACCCACACAAGCGATGTTCGAGATGATCGTTTCTCCACTTGTCCCATTTCGACGAGGCCATCGAACCACTCTTCTATTGACATAATCAGAGATGATGAGACTATCTCTCTCTTTGTCAACAATCACATCTACTGGGTCATTCAACTGATGAGCTCCACTTCCGTGTCCATTTCCACCGGCAACCACTTGGCCAGTCGTTGCACCATATTTCCATTCCACAATACGGTGATTACCCCGATCAGCGACATAAACACTTTGATCGTCATCGACATATAAACCCCATGGGCCAGAGAGTTGATTAATTCCAGTGCCTTGTCCATTTCCTCCAGCTACAGTAAGACCATTCTGAGCCCATTTTGCATTCGGATCAATGTCAATAGCAGGTGCTCGTAGTGGTACTTAAAACAGAAAAAAATAAGTGTCACAATAAGAGACAGAAGACATAGAGAAAAGAGAGAGAACAAAGTTTAAAAACGGGGTGATTTTGTCTGGAGGGTTGAGTGAATAGGAGTGAGGCATGATGTTGCTGAATTCTATGGAATTGCAATACATACACTAACTGGAATCCTTGTAATTTGAGGGTGGGGGTGGATGATGTCTATCAGAATTTAGAAATATTGTTTCATTTTATTTTGTTGTTCGTCCCTTCCTTCATTCATCTAATTGTCAGCACACGTTTCTGTTCTTTATCCTCGTTGAGTATCTATCCAACAAAGTTATGGATTCTCTACAAGTTTATTTTCCTCGAGTCAAATTCTTTGCTGAACGAAGAGAAATGATCAATGAGGAACGATAGAGAGGGAGGCAACCAGCGTGTGTGTCAAAGGAAAACCCATCTCTTTCCCTCTCCAATTCGGAGAAAATCATTTCTTCTTAGTATTTTTTCTTTTTTTTTATGAGCTACTATTAAGTAGAAAAAAAATGAAATCGACATTTTGTGTAGCTCTTGAAAACGCACAATATTGTTCCTTCAATAGAGTTGTATATAATCATCGATGATATTTTCGTCAAACAACCGCTACTACGGTATTACTGAAACTCAATACATACACTGCTCTAGATTTCAAGCTAACATTTCTTTCGTTTGTGGGAAAACCTGACAAAAACGACTCATCCATTGACGAACCCTTGGAGAAAATAAAGCATGCTCTTGAAAGTTCGACTTTGTTTCATTTCAATGAATGAGAGAAAACAAGACTAATTAGTGGACTGAATTCATCAGTGATTTCATGCTTTACTTCATATGCGTTAATTTTTTGTCGCAATGCTATTGATTGGCCAGGATTTTGAAAAAAAGTCAATTTCTTGGCACAGTTTACATTCAGTTGGAGAGCATTTTTTCAGGGTGACTCGTAAAGAGAAATCCCGCATAGAATTCCAAATGATAGAATGTTGTAGTCCCACTTCTGTCCGATACGTGGATATTAAAAAACTGCAGCAGATATTTTGAAAAAAATTTCGAAATGAAAAAAGCGATTTTCATCAATTTTAAAAGATTCAAATCTAAAGAATATAGTGAAACTTTGACGAAATACTGAGAGATCGATAATATTCTATTCTTTATGCATGTGGTGGTGGCATCGACCGTTATTTGTAAGTATTTGATGATAAACAATTGAAGTGTGAACAGCTGAAAATTCAGAAAAAAAACTGAGATTTTTTCGAGACCAGTTTCGTCATCCTCTCTAGTTGTGTGTCAATAATTCTCGTACTTACGTACGCACACTATCTTGAGGGTGAGGGTGAGGGTGAGGGAGTAAGGTTTTCTGCTTAAAAAATGAATCTAAGGAAGGAGGTCTGAATATGTCATAACATGTTTCTTCAATCGTTATCGGACGGACACCCAGCTTAGCTCAGATTCTGTTTTATTCAAGAAAAGAAACCACAAGACTATATCAAGATTTTAGACTCTCATGCACTCCTACAAGCTGCTTGTTTATAATGAGAGAGTAGCCCATTACATTTGTTCATTTTAATACTCAATATAAAGAGAGATCTCATATATGTTGTACTTTTGATTCCTATACACTTTTAGTTTTACGTTTGATGATTGATTGTTTGACATAGCATGTTTATAAATATACACGTGCGTCAAAATAATTGACGATGATCACGAATGAGAAGGATCTATAGCAGTTCACATTGGAAAATGCAAAGTCTTTTCATTGCACTCGCGCCGCTTTTATAAAAAATGATTCAAAAAATATTTTTGTTTCAACTTAGCTATTTCATACGCTTTCTAACTATACTTATTGCTAGGAATTTCGGAATGGAAAAATCAACTTTTGTTACAGTGACTACTACTGTAACTATAATGCTCACATTGGTATTTCGTTTATGCAAATTTTTAAAGTGTCCGAATGTTTTTTAGCCTAACCATTGATTGGGGAAAATACTCACGTTCATCACAGAAACACAAGTGTCTTTTTTCGGTTTAATGTAAAACCGCCGAAAGAGAAAATATCGACGTAAAAAATGTCGAAAATAATAATAACTCAGGTTAAACACATACTAATGATGTAAAAGTACAACATGTCTTGCTGTAGCGTATACAAACAGTGTCGATGTGCGTGATTAGGATGGATTAAAAGCACTTTCGACATTTTTTCTTGCAGCGTTTTTACAGTAAATCCTTTTTTCATCAATACATTAATGAACCAATGAGAAGATTTTTTCTTAGAAAAAAAGATTGTGAACTATCTCGATTATGAGCTGTAGAAAAATGAATATTCAATGATTTTTGACATAGAGAACCATAATAAACATGAATCAATGAAAGCAGAAAAAAAATTCCCACTAATTTTCGTGAAATAAAGTCATTACCTAATAATTATCATAAATTATTTGTATTGAGAAAGTCAGTAAGAAACTTATATTTTTTGTAAACAGACAAAAATGATCCCGGCGATAAAAACTATTTTTCTGGCTTAGATAGTGTACAGAACACAAATGACAAGGAAGTCTTCAGAGTTGCGAGAGAAAAAGTAGAACAACAACAAAGATAATGATGAATTGAGCAGAAAAAAAGAACTTTGATTTAAAATGTGATTTTAAATCATCAAATGAAAATGTCGAACTAGTAATCACGATAACACTCTTACGACTTTAAAATTGATTACTAGAGGGAGCGAAAAAAGAAAAATTTTGCGGTTCTGAAATAATATATAGTGTAAATATTTGTGAACTGAGAACTGATCAAGATTACATTGTCGAATGAGGTAGATGTGCTACTTGTTGCATTGACAATGAAATAGTTCTATCTAAGGATTATCGAGACTCATTATCAAATTTTATGTCGCTAGGAGTGTTTGTGGAGAGAAGAAAAGCATGCAACATTTAGTTGCTTTTCAGGATCAAAATTCGACGAATCAAGAATGAAAAAACTTCACATTTCATGACACAAGAACTAGAGGTAATATTAACTCTTGACGGGATAACTGATAGTTTTATCAAATCTTAATCGGTGTTTATTGAATTGACCTGAATAGACTACACTCTCGCTTCTCTTTATGAGAATTTTCGATCAGTTGCTGTGCACCGATTTCCCACAACGATGATGTATGCTTGCTGATTGAGTAAACAAAAAAATTTCAGAGAAATCAGACATTTCGAAGAATAATCACAAAAACTACTCAATAGTTGTTGTCTGAAATGATTGAAGAAATTTGTTTTAGAAAGAAAAATCTTATCAATTGAAAACGACGCTCAATTTGGAGTTCGACACTTATGCCTTACCATGAGTCAAAAGAAAAGAAATTATTTTCTGCTTTGTCTCGAAAAATTTTCATTAGATTTTGTGTAAAATCGTCAAGACACAACAATAACATTCATATGATTTATTTAAGGAAACAAGTGCTGATGTCACTAGAATTACATATAGGTCCTTACTGACACAAAATGGACGGGACTGTTTCGATCAAATACATAACAACCGAGAGAGTCGTCGATACGATAGCATAGATTTTTGAGATTTATGCAAGATTTGTGTTTAAAATTTCATTTTAATAGGTAATCGGTTTAAAGTGACAAATCGCAACATTCATATTATTTAATAAAACTTTTTCAAAAGAGCTCTGACAAATTTCGTTATCTCTCTCGATTTGAATTCAAATGTCGAATTCACAGTGATATAGAACTAAGTCTATGAAACTTCGAGTATAGTTCAAAGAATTGTTCCGATCAAACAGTTCAAGTGCAACAGAACTGTACCCTATATATGAAATACTTGGTTCTCTGTATTGAAAAGCGATGTAAATCGACAGCTTTGCTTCATTGTATTGCGTGCAAGTCTTTTCGAGAACTCTTTGTCCGATAAAACATAAGTACAGATGAAGCAAAATATCAATCAACATCACTTTTTCATACAATAGTTGTTTTTCTATAAAGAACCAGGTCATCAGTTACAATTCTTTGAACTTTAACTCTTCAACAGTTACATTTTCGCCGTTTTTGAGAACTCTGGAACTGGAGGTAATATCCCATGTAGTTACTCATCTTACAATTAATTCAATAATGGTTCTCTTTTCAATCAAGTAATCCAGTTTTATTCTGTAGTGAACGTCTATCAAACAATATGAAAGCTTTTTTCAGTTATGTAGGTCATTAGGTTTCTTTATATACACATGTGCAAAGCTGCATTTTCATTGTTTTTTATTTTATGAAAAGGTATAGAAATAAACTTTGGATATTTGTGTATCAAAAAGAAACGAATTTAATTTGTTTTAATTAGCTAATAAAAAGAAAAATACATGCTATTGTCTATTTCAAAATAAAAGAAGGGTGAATATATTTTGGAATATCTTTTGATAGGAACAAGATAGTGGTCTGTGGCTTTCACCGTTTAAAAGAGGCGATGAAACTGCATCGAATCATATGTGTCAGATTTTTTCGACAAATTTCCTTAGAGTCCACCGTCAAGTTTTTTTTTAAACATCAAAGCTTTTGACAGGTGGTTAAGATGACTTTCTATCAAAAAATAAGGGAAAAAAATCTGATTTTCGGTGAAAAATCGGCCGAGAACCCCAGTAAAATGTCTATAACTAATGATTGGCTAAAGCTAATAACATCGAGCTTACATAATTGATTGATCTTTAGGTAGCGATTCTAGTGGAGTCCTGAAAATTAAAATCTCAAAATTTTTACTTTACATAATGTTTTGTTTTTTAGAGACTTGTCAGAAAAATCTTACATACGTAATTCGATGCAATTTGATCGCCTCTTTTACACGGTGAAAACCACAGATCTCTATCTTGTTCCTGTCAAAAGTTATTCGAAAACTAGTTACCTTCTTTTATTTTGAAATGGATAATAGTTTTTGCATAACAGCTGCTTTCTGTTAATAAAAAAGTCTTACACTATAGAGAACGACTAAAAGAAAGCATCGGTCCTTTGTTATTTAATGATCCAGCTTATCAGACAAACTTACATATTTGTAAAATTTGAAAAATTCAATCCTGGTATGCACTAACATGGTCCAAGGTTATTAATAATGACAATTGTATAAATTAGAAAAGAAAAGGATGAGTGCCTTTTTGATTTACATGAACAAGATCCCATTACGCGACTAAGTTAACTTTCTACAATTTTATGAAGTATTATTTAAACCAAACTTTATCTCCACAATCCAGAAACCATACTTCTTCCATCAGTAATGCATAAATATTGAGATCGATTTATGTTGAGAAAAAGAAATCTAACGGTGCCATAATGCTTTAGTGAAAAAGTGGAAATCTAATCGATGATTAGAAGTAATTTTACTATCTTATTTGTACATTACTTTTTTACTTTTTTTGTGGTTATTATTTATTACTGGTAATAAGTAATAATTAATGACGCTACTACTTATTACCAATAGTAGTAAAGCGCCACCCCTAATGTAGATTAACATTAGGTGCAAAGTAGCTACATACACCTGATTTCAAATTACATTAAGTGAAGTCAAGATGCGTTAATGTAAAGCTTACCCCACTGCTGAGTAGCGGTTGTAGTTGTAGCTGTAGTTGTAATTGTAGTGTTCGTCACTATTCATCAACATAAAACATTTATGTAAACAAAACAGATAGTATTGGTCTAGGATAGAATGGGATATAGAAACCAGTGAATCGAATTTTTAAGTGAATCTTAAGCAGAGTTGTAAAGTAGTGCCACGCCATCAATCGGCCTGGTAAGCGAATTTTTCGTTTTGAAAACTATTTTCTAATGGAAAAAGTTCAAGTAGAGTGTTTGGAACGAACGGTCACTGCGTCCTCATACTTTATTCTGTAGAACTGCAACAGATTCTACTTTTAAGATTATTAGATATCATCCATGAGACGAAAAGAGACCTTTTCTTCAATAAATCCAATTCATTTTGTGTGCGCCTCGCTTTATCTACTTTTTTAAAAGGATCGTCAGTTCTTCTTCACCATTCGCACACCAACACTAATTGCATATGTAAGTGGTGTGTGTGAACGGTGAAGAAATACTTTGAAGCAAGATTCGAGATCCACTTGACTCTATAGATAACTGTTTGTTCACTTACTTGTTATTGGTGGACAGACTTTTTTATTGTAACGCGGCACTGGATAACAAACAGGAAGTGTATGACATTGAGGATGATGAACACATCTATGCTCAGGTTCGTAACAACGGTTGTTTGTACGGTCGCATGGAACTAGCTCAGAACAATCCATTAAATCAAAGACGCAAATGCCCGTGTCAATAGCACCTGCCATATGGAAACAGCCGCATGCACTATTTGTCGAACATTGATCATATTGAGGAACTCCATGACATAGTTGGGAATTCACTCGAACTAGCAACATACTAAATTAATAGCAAGGCATGTAAAACGAAACAAGAATCAAACCTGTAATGCTAAAATAGAAAACTGATAAATGTGAGAAGAATAAAAAATAAAAATCAATGTCATTTACCTGAGAAGAACGAAAACGAAATAACAGAACATAATTCTGATTATAGGTTGTGATGAAATGAAGCAGTATCATGAGGGTATCTCTTTTCTTATATCTAAAACACAGGTGATATTTTAAGCCACATTAATTTAATGCCGAAAAGCACACACTCTAATGCTTTGATAAATGGAAACTCAATATTGCTCCAATTACTTCTAACGTACTAATCCTATTCTAAAAGAAGTATAATTTTGGGTGGGGGTGTGGGTGTGTGGGTGGGG